ATTAGTAAAGAAAATTTCCCTAAATAAATTGAAAATGATTGAGGCTGTTGATAGGATATTAGTAGTTGATACCCCTATTGTGAGTGACACCTCTATACAAAAAGAGAATCTTATAAGCATATTTCCTTCCTCTGGATCTAGTTTGAATCAACATGGAGAAATCAATTTTGTCATAGAGACGTGTGATCAATACCTACACTTACACAAGTCTTATATTTATATGGAATGTGAACTATTGAAATCAGATGACACTGTGTTGGCTGAAACAGATGAAGTATCCTTGACTAATAATGCACCAATGTTTTTGTTTGATAGAACAACTTATAGCATGGATGGTATGCAAGTTGAAAGTATAATGGATCCTGGTAGAGCTAGTCTGATGAAGGGGCTTTTAACTTATAGCAGCACAATGAATAAACAGAATACGTTTGGATGGATTCTAGAAACTAAAGATATTATTACATACAAGATAAACAAATATACAAAAAATAGAAAAGGAAGTATTACTTTCTGTATCCCGTTGACTCATATCTTTGGCTTTGCAGAGTGCTACAATAAAATTGTCTATGGTAGAAAGCATCAACTCACTCTCTACAGATCTCCTGAGAACAAAAATAGTATTACATCTAATGATGCTAAAAAACATACAGCTAAGATAAATATTAAAAAATTACAATGGATTATTCCAAAGATTGTTCCTAGTCTTGAAATGCAAAATAAACTGTTGAACATTTTTGAAAGTAGTAAACTTGTGCAGATGCCTTTATTTCTAGACAGTTGGAAAGTTACAATATTCCTAATGGAAATAGAGAATTCACATGGAAATTGGGAACGAAATATGATAAAATAAAGTATATTGTGGTTGCTTTGCAGAGCAATAGAGATAACAATTACCTGAATGCAGGTAAGTTTGATAACTGTGGATTGGAAGAAATTTATGTCGAGTTAAATTCAGAGCGGTATCCTCATGATTGTTTAAAGTTTGATTTCGACAAATTCAACGCTGTTCAACAATACAATTTTGCTAAAGAGTTTAGAAACAGTTACTATGAATCAACAAAAGATTACATTTTCATGGAAGAAGATGTATACTATTACTATTACCCATTGTTGGTGTTCGATGTATCTAAACAAAATGATAGAATTATCCAATCAAGACCTGACGTTACAATAAAAGCTTCCTTTTCAAAGAGTATTGTACAAAACACAAAATGTTATTGTTTGATTATGAGTGAAAATATTGTTGAAATTAAAGATAATCGCGTTAAAGTTGTTAGTGTTTAGTTATCTTGAATCCATGAATTAAATTTCTCAGGATATCCATACCATTTTACAAACATTTCTTTTACTCCTTTCCTAGTTCTACGTTTCAGTATCTTTTCTATTTTGTATTCTTCTTTGACATTATTAAACAGAGTAAGTTCTTCTTCATAAAACTTTCCTTTGATCTCTTCATCTGCTAAATCTTTAATGGAGTATGTTGTGACTTCCCCTGGATGAACTTGAGTGATTTTGAATATTTCTGTACTCCAATTAGGTAGATAACCTTTATCAAAAATAGCTTTGTACTTTGTAATTCTTACTGTATCATCTATTTTGAACTTGAACTTTTCAAACATTTCTTTCGAGGAGGGGAACAGGTTCTCATGTACTTGATCTTCATTTTCTTTTTTGGATGCTTCAATGGGAGTCATTTTTATGCTACGGTGATAATGATTATTGTATCCTTGAACTAATTTATCTAAAATATCAGTCCACTTATGATTACCTTGATGAGTGAACATTTTCCACATTTTCTCTTTAAGAGTTCTATTGAATCTTTCAATGATAGAGGCTTTCTTGTCGGAGTATGTTGAAAAATGTTTGATATCAAAACTTTTGAATAGAGCTTTCATTTCCTGATTGTAATATTCTTTTCCATTATCGGTTTGCATTTTTTGAGGTTTCCTGGTTTTGAAAATGGATTGTAAAGCACTTGCAGTTTCCTTTCCAGTTTTAGTTTTTAAAGGAATCACCAAGCATATTTACTGAAACAATCTATAACTGTTAAAAGGTATTTGAAGTCATCATTTTCATCTGCATAAGGAATCATTTCAACAAGATCGGATTGCCATTGCTCATCTATATGGTGAATATAAACTCTTTCTGTCTGATAATTCTTTCTAGCAGGTTTGTGAAGAGTGTAAACATCTTGTTCATTTAGAAATTGTTTGACTTCCTTGATTGGTATTTTAGTTTTTCTTTGAAGTTCGTTGATACCACAGAATCCAGTTTCAGGATTGTAGAAAGTTTGTTCGAGAATGATGATAGGTTTTTTTGACGTTTTCATAGGTTTGATGTCACCACCAGTTTTCAAAGTTGAAGCTATTTTACATTTAGTTGCTTTACATACTTGACAGTTTCCTTTGAACATTTGTCTATTATTTTTGGTTAATGTCTTTGTGACACTGTTAGAACTTGTGCGCTTTTGGCACTTTAAACAGTACATGTCCATTTATTAGGAACATAAAACAGGAATGTGTAGATAAAGAGTTTGACATTTATGTTCTTTTTTCCATATTTTTCTCATTTTGAAATTTTTTCCCTACTCTTTGTAGTTGTTTCTTAAAGTTTGTATTTTCAAAATGGAAGTGGATCCACCAAATACCGCACTATCTCCGACCACTGTGGTACACCCAAGTCAATTCCGATACTGATAAATAACGCTATTGAAGATAAGGAAAAAATCACAGTCGCAGATGGACAAGAATATCTTAAGAGACAAAGGGAAGATGACTGGATAGAAAATCGTGTAGCAAGGGTAAGTTTTATGTGTACTAATTTCTACATTGTTTGATTTTAGATTGAAGCTCAAAACGGGAAACTAGATAAACTTCGAAGCGATGTGAAGGTGGAGGAGGCGAAACTTGAAAATCTTGAAAGAGAGTATAAGTCGGAGGTAGCTCGAATCAAAAAAAGACGGGAATTGTATGACAAAAAAGCTTCGGTAATAATCTGTTGATTTTCATATTTAAGTTTGATGTTTCTTTTACAGAACCGCGTCGAAAGAAGACAAGCTGGAAAAATAATCAAGAAACATAAACGCGAGCTAGAAAAGAAGCAGGAGAAGCTCCGCGATGAAATGGAAGAATTACATCTGGACAAAATTTAATTTTTCTATATTATTGATTAATGGTTTCAAATCATTGTTCAGCATTTAATAAAACGTAATAATGGTAAAGAATTGAATGAAAAGAGTGTTGGTTAACACTTGATTTTTTTGTCGTTTCTTCATGGTTCTGACGGTTGATTTTTTCATGTTTGCTCGACGAGAATTTTTGACTGATTTTTCTGATTTTTTTCATGATTTTTTTTTCGTTTTTTTTCGATTTTTTTCAATTTTTCTTGCATATTTTTCGGATCTCATTAAGTGGATAATCCTGAGCTTTTGAGTGGGTTTCGAACTTTCTAGCATTCAAACACAAGACAGGCGCTTTACCATTCTGACATGAGAACAAATTGATAAGAAAGTTGAAAAAGTGTTTAAGTGTAGAGAATTTGTTATCAGTTGGAGTGAAAAGTGACTGTTTTGAGAGGTTGAAAAAAAGTGGGACAAAAGTGGGAAAGTGAGTGGGGGTGAACTCAGTTCACCAAAATCTGAGAGTGTGAAAATCGTGGATTTTGCTAAGAATATTATATGAAAAAAAATAATTAGGGCAAAAAACTTGAAAAAACAGCAAAATAAAAATTTCAAAAAAGTGGGCCAAAAGCTGCGCCAGAAAGGACAATTCCCTACTACTATTGGAAGGCAAATTGAAACAGAACTTGTCATTAAAAAATGCACATCTAGATTTTACAGGTATGACTTCACCATGGGATTTAACAGTGATTCGATGTAAGATTACAGACGTTGTCGCGGCAGCAGAGGTTCTACTGCACGACCTCAAATTCATCAACACTAGAGCACATCTAGAATGACACAAATTGTCATGAACACAATTCTCCAACTAGTCAACGCTACATATTTGGCGTGATCACTTCCCTTATCACTATATCAGATCTGGAGCATAATCGTGGATATGCCGAGGAGATGCTATAAAAGGATTGAGAATCGCCAGTATGATGAGACATCTGAGACTTCTACCAAAGGATCTCCTCTACAATAAACTCACTGATGCCGGATCCCAACTGCTGACGCCCACACTTCTTGAAGCTGCAACCCCCTAATGGTGGACAACGGATGGTGCACACCCCTTTTCTCCAAATCAATGGAAACCCACAGACGCTGGATCGGAACTACGCCAACTCCAAATGCTGATGCCGGGCAGATCCATAATCAGAGCCCTAACCCAGTTAAATAAATAGTTGTTGAATACTTAATGTTCCTATCCTTGTACTTTCGCTCCGACACAGGCTCACCACCTAAGTGTCGGAGCAGACGTAGATAAGTCATCAGAAAAACGCATTTAAAGGGGGACTCCGGTCAATTTTTTTATTGCATCAAAATGTGTTAAAATTTATCTATTTTCAGAATATTATTGCGAAAAAATTCGAAAAAAATCCGAAATCCCCAAAAAACGCCGTTGAAAAGGAAAAAAATTCAAAAAAATGTGCCACCGAGGGACGAGGATTTTCAGTGAGACCCCTAGGCCACGCGAGCGGCGCGACTTTCTTACCGTACAAATTTTCCGGATTTTTCTTGCTTTTATCTCC